CCAGTGAGTGTTCACTGACTGAGTGTTTTGAGTTGGGAGAATTGAGTTCTGTTTTGGCCCACCAGTGAGGGGTTGAGTGTGGTTAATACTTTCATAGTTATTGGACACAGATTACATCAAGTAGCATGTTGCTTTGAAGTTATAAAGATACTATCTAGCCTGCGAATTGGCCACCAGTTGGATGCTAATGACTTGAGACTTTTCCAGAACTAATAATGCTGTGTCTGTGGTGAAATCTTGAAGATTTGTATCAATGAATAGGTATAGTAAGATTACAAGATACCCAGAGCAGCTTGAAGTAAGGGTGGGTCAGGAAATCTGCCTAAACCGTGTAATTTTACTCCTGTAGGGATTAGCCTGAGAAGTGTTTGGCTATTAATGAGTGTATACGTGCCTTGTCCCCATCCTTTCTCTGTGTTTGGTATGTAGATTGTTTTACGTGGCCTTCTGTCTGTCATTGGTGCATGAATTGTTATCTTTATTTAAGGTTACCAACCAGACATCCTTATAAAATATGAGAGAGAAAAAACGTGCAGTTGTTAAAGATTTCCTTCGTCAGTCAGGTCATGAAAGAGGAAAGTTGGAGCAAGACGTCAGCAGTTATAGGAACTTATTAATAAAATCATGACATGGATGACTATATTCTTGTATTGCGCACCTGCATTTACATATCCACTTGTATACTAAGGGGGTGAACATTCCTTAAAGTACACTAGGTTATTAACTATAAGCATATTGAATAGCTAACCATTTGGAGGCATTTTATGAATGCTGTTGACAACTGAAAGTATATAGAAATGGTTGCTGTCAACTTAATCACTCTGAAGTAAGGCCAAATAAAATTATTTTTTAGATTCTCATCCCCACCTGCCCCATTTAGAGTGTTTTTCTGTATTTTTGTTTATTTTGGTTAAATAATGGATGAAAAATCAAAAGAGAGAAAAAAAATTGTTGACCAAAAGAATGAGAAACATAAACAGTGATGTGCTATATAAGTCTGTCACTTATTTTAATTGCATAGTGTCTGTGAGTATTTTTTAACAAGCCAATTTTTCTTTTGAAAAAGTTACAAAATATTGATATAAAGTCAAAATTTTTAGTTACACCTCTCACTCCTTTGTTTTGGAGAAGACAATTGGATTTACAAAATACAATGGAAAAAATTGACTAAAATTGCAACATGTAGAAACATATCATAATTATGTTTTTAGAGACAAAACAGTGAAAGTTTATTAAGAAATTTCAGCATCACCAAAGTAGCTATTATATAAATGAAGTTATACATCAGCAGATTTTAGAGAATATAATTACTACTGAGTATAATAGCACTACTTGAACTCTGTATCTACAAGAACTCTTCAGCAAAGGCTAAATTCTTCAAGAATTTTTATACAGATCTATTCAGAAAACTTGTACAATGTCACGCCAGAATCATAAATGTTGCATTGAATGGTTGTCTTGAGCAAAAAAGTGGATTTTAATGACATCATTTGAAAACTGTGGTAGTTTTAGATGAAGCAGAGGGTTAGTCTTGGAGGTATATGTTTGGAAAAAGGTTGATAAGAAGTGGCAATTATAGGGCTTTGAGATCTGTGACAAAGCTGCATTTGTGTTTGGGTTAATTCGGCGGGGGGGGGGGGGGGGGGGGGGGGGGGGGGACATGAAAAGGGATTTCAGCATCCAACTAGGAAAATTTTAAACATTATAAGATACATTGAACTTTGTAACCAGTTTGACCAGTCAGACATTTTTACAACAGGCCATGGACTTGTCAGTATGAGAACTGTCCATCTCATATTCAGAAAATAACATTCAACTGTTTACACAGGCTTTCATAATCACCAGACGTAAACAATATTAAAATTGTATTGAGAATAATAAAAATCTGCCTTCAGGGTTAAACACACTATATGTAAAAGTTGGGAAGAACTTGTGCAAGCAGTGGTGCACATTTGGACATTGTGTATTCTGGGGTTTGTAGAGGAATGCATTAATATTATGAAAATAATTGGGGTAATTAAAGCTTATTAGTGGTTTGTGTACTCATGTTAGCATAAACAATGTAAACATCTCATAATAAAAAGAACTATATAAGATATAGAATAAGATATTATAAAGAAAACAACCCACCTGCTGCATTATTTTTTGAAAATTAGGATGAGAATATATAAATTGAGTTTATGCGGCCTCTACAGATAGGTTCTATTAAACTGTGCAAGCACTTCATCTGTAGAAGTTGTCATATTGCTTTTTTTTTCCTTACCTGGCCTGCGTCATTCTGGTAAATTGTGCTAATAATGAACCAGAATTATGGTCATTATTTTCACAGTATGACGTTCATGAGGTGTTAATGGTGGAAATGAATGATATTTTTTCCATAATTTTGTTTTACTTTTTTTTCTTGACCCAAAAACAAAAAACCTAGAAACAAATCCCAACTGGAAAAGAGATTTCTGTTGTTTCAACACGTAGCTCCACCCAAGTTTTGACCTGGCCAGAGGGCATACAAACCTGTATTTCTGATAACACGCAGTTTCACCCATTCATGCTGTGTCCTCTTACCCCTATCACTTGGGGTTATTTGTATCACAATGGCTTGAACCGATTAAAGAAAAACAGCTGACTGATTTCATTGTGTCAGGAATTGCTCCTAGTAGATGGTGTACCTATGCACATACCTGGACGTCAAATATTTGTCTATTTATAGTCTAGATCGTGAGGTGAGAGCACTCATGTATGTCAGGGCAGGCATGTAGACTTTTCTAGGAGGATTAAAGAAGACAATGCTCATGACATAGGTCGACCAAAACTTACACAACTCTTTTGGCACTTGTATACATCCATGCATAATGGCCCTGTGTTTCAGTGATGGAGGGTAATGAAGACTGTTATTTATGTTGATAAGATGCTGGTGTGCATCCTGCCAACATTTTTATCAGTGCAGCCTGGGTTTTGTTTGGGTCACACCCTCATAACAAATGAAGGGTATATTCCTATGTCTGGTAATTATCTTTCCCTTGAAGCTGAAATTGCAAGAAAGTTTGCCAGAGAGTTAAGAGGAAATGCATTTTCACAATAAAATAACCCATAAGGTTGTTTCTTAGAGGGGATTTTCAGTAATTGGAATTTACACTCAAGCATACCCAAGACTAAAAAGAAAGTTTGATTACTTTATTTTTATTACAGTGAGAAAATGTTGTAAAGTAGACAGAAGCAGATTTATAGTGATATAAAAATATAAAAGAGAAAAAAAAAACATTGCTGCGGTTAAATAATATTGCACTAGGAGACACATGACATCATAAGGAAAGCCTCTCAGATCGTTTAAAAAACCCGCATTAAATCCTGGTCCAAAAAAAATGTCATTTGAAATAAATGCACTAAGTTGAAAAATGTGTCCTGAAGACATGTAATCACAAAAGATTTTTTTTTAAGGGAAAGATCCTGGGTAGTTTAGGAAACAAAAGCTTTTCCTTGATCAGAAGGGAGGCATATTTGCGATTAATCTTTCTGTTCCTTGATCAGAGGAGGGGCATATTTGCAATTAATCTTTCAGTTAAGAAATAAGTAAGAACACCTAAAACAATAAATTCTAGGTCACCGGAACTTTGCTTGATGGGGTGGTGTTTTTGATTTTCCTGCATGCATGTATATTTGATTGTGTAATTCTTCACAGATAGCAGGCATGATTTTCTATTTACTCCAATTTCAGTTTAGATTTAAGGTATTTGAGTTATACGATTTAATGGGATTTATATGCATAACACTGGTGCTTTTTGAGCTGAAGCTAATCAAACACACATTTTACTGTAAATAGGGCAGACAGTCTGACCTTGACAATCTAGGTTAGAGTTTTCCCCCCCATGTCAATTTTAGATGAACAAGATACCCATATCTTACAAACTGAAAGTCCCTTACCATTTCCTCAAACATTCCTTAAAGATAGAATCATTCCCTTGGCTCAGATGTAAATTATGCAAACAAGAACGCTGTAAGAGATCGGAAAGTGTTTATTCTTTACACTAGCAAGATTTCACAGATTCTTAAATTGCACAAGGTACCGGTTAATCAATAAAAATCTTTAGAGTTATTTCAAATGACATTTATCAATACCGGTACTTTTCGGGTGTTTTCATGTGTGCACATTTAATTGGAGTCTTTTGGACCTCCAGGATGAAGCTGCGAATCTTGTACTTTGCTGCAAATTACCAGCATTGATTTCTTGGTTAGGAGATTTTCCTCAGGTGCATTATGCTTTAGTCCTTGTCAATACACTCCGGCCTCTACGACTTTGTTGATATTTGTGTCATTTAACATCGGGAACCTTGAACTCGGGAGATCCCCTCGTCAAACCTGAGGTTATTTATTGTTCATTCCTGCATCTCATTGTCTGCTCCTAGACTTCAGTATAGATTGATCATTACTACTGGATAATCTGATCAAATGATGGAGGTCATCTAGTGTAGTTGTCAGGCTTCCAACCATCATCAAAGATCTCAACAATCGAACACTCTCTAATCCAATCTTTTGGATTCTAACTGTTCATCAAACTCGCAAATCAGGGTCGGAGAAACACTTCAAGACAGATACCTTTGATAGATCTGTATTTCTATATACATTAATCGGCTAGAACACACATGTTCAAGTAATAAATCTTTTATTTGAAAGTTTCCTAAGAAGTGATCCTTATTTTACAATTACCACATTCATTTTCTGTCAAGTATGTTTACTTATTAGATTTGAAGTAGTGCCTAATTATCCTTGAATGCAATATTTGCAATAATTGGGTGATTTAATTTCTGTTCCATTTAGCATGTTGAAAGAATGTTCTTGATAACCTCAAAACAGATTGCACCCTCTGAAAAATTTCTTATGAAAATGAATTCATAAAAAGAAATAAGATGTTATGTACGACATTTATATTATACTGCATAATTACGAACATTCTGGTTCATTTTCATGGTAAACTGTTCATGAATGCTATGTGTATATTCTTGTAGGACCTGCCACGGTGAGAATGGTGTCCAATAACGGTCCACCACTTCCCATGCCCATGCAGGTGCCACCAGGTCACATGGTCCAACAGATAGTGGACGAGCATGGCATTCTGACTCATGTCATTCTATCGCCCCAGCCCACATCTATGCCAGTTGGCGGACCCTCTATGACGGTAGGATACTATGTATGTATTAAGATTTTTTTTCCCTCTCTTCTGTGGCTCAGGCTTGTATCCATGGCGATTGCATGCTGCCTGACCGGACATGTCTTGTGCTAACCATAACAACCGAAGGAGGGACTACATTGTTTAGCCCCACCTTGATTGCTGTCTTAGATTGCAGGTGCTACACAGAGCATTTTGTTAAACACCAGACACTACAAAGAATATCAGTGGAAAATGTATGTATTTTGTCAGTACTCATTATGTTAAACATTGTCTTACTGCAAAAACAGAGAAAGCGTCATCACGCACTATAATAATGATTCACATTTGACTCTTACAATTAGGATACCCCTGTGATATACAATATCTCTTTTTATCTTGACTCATTCCCCCCAGCCTTCTTAGACGCTGCTGTCTAGAAAGATTTGCTTCATGGAAAATTGGAAAGAACATACAGAGGCCAAAAAGCAATAGAAAATAATCAGCATTTGTAGAAGAAGTCGTTACTCCTCATGTTTTGATGTTTTGGCACCTGTTGATATTTCCTTTTGAAAAGAAACAAAAAACTTAATTATATGCATAAGGAACTGGGGTGTTTGAAGTGTAAACTAGACAGAATATGTATGGCTAGGGATGTGCGATTTTATCGATATACCGGTATATCGTGATTTTTAATAACCCAATATGTATTGTGATACAGAGACTAAAATACCAGTATTTAGTACATAATCATAAATGTGAAAATTCATTTATTTGTTCAATTTTTAAATTACAATTACTGTAAGTGTATAAAAATGTTGTAAAATATTAAATCAATGGCATCCCTTAGCATCCAAACATGCTTTATTGATATATAAATAAAAACCTGAAGTTATTTTTCACACCATATTTGTTAGAAAAAAAATATGGAGATACATTTCAAATCATAGGTAAAATTGTGTGTAAACATATGACATTATCATGATATTTTTGGGAAAAATCGTGATATATCATGATACAAAATTTTTGGCGATACCCATCCCTATATATGACACATGGTTATTTAAGATTTGCAGTATCAATTCATATTTACATATTTACTTTGCTGTTATGTATGTATATGTACATATATTGATTACATTAGAGAATGGATTTAACAGAATATAAATACATGTATTATGCAAATATTTAATGCATTTATTACTGCATTGAAATTAAACTTCATGAATTTTCTTAACATGGATTGACTAATTAACTAATTAACAAATGAGAACAAAACAATTGACATATCTAAATTATACAAGATTAATGCTGTCAGAATGTATAAAATTTAGAAATATTATTGACAACTGTTCAAAATTTTTATGGAATTTCATTATAATAGATGAACAAATGATGACTTTAAACATAATAGTATGCAAATTTTTGTCATGGAATCATCCAGAAATATAATATCTGCCTTAGGCAGAACTGTGCTGAAGGAACCAGAATATTACATGAAAAGGCTGAGGAACTTGAAATCCTCAATTGTTATCAAGACTCTGTGAATAATGACAGAGTGATGTCTAAATGAAACTACACATAAAAGCAAAATGCTTATGGCAGTTTTAAAGCAAGATCCCTTTGTTTCAAGGTCACATTTTTCCACGCCCGATACAAAAATTTGCATATAAATTTGAACTGGATGCAAAGTGAAAAGTGTCTCATTTTGGCGTCAAAATAAAACTTCGGATGACATTGACAGCATTATGGGAGTCGGGGATAAGCGTCAGCTTTCACTTGTGATATATTGATTATGACGGAGCTTTGACATACATTCTGTGACATTGTGAAGTGCCATCAATATTTCATCAGTGACCCTTTTGTGGTGGGACTTAGTTGGAAAAGAAAAGGTTTCCACACAAAGTCTGCCTTGAAAGTGTCTGAATTTCGAATGCAGTCAGTAGATTTATTGAAAACATCATGTAAATGAAAAATTGCCCCCCAAAAAGGGGGGGGGGTATAAAGTCATTTATAAATGAATAAAAGATAAAATAATGAGTAACACACATAATTGTCCTATCTCTTGTTCTAAGATATAGGACTGTTTAAATTTTATAATTTATGTTCATATGAATCTTTTTTTGTTTCTATTTTTTTTTTCAAAATAGTACAACCTGATTTTAGGGAATGTTCTGTGACAACTGAAAATTACTTAATGTATCATTATCTTTTGTTTTAAATATTCACCCTTTCATTAGTTTATAAAAAAAACAAACAAATATCATACAATAAATAAATGTGTCGTATGATAAAGTGTTATTGTTATAAACAGGTTTCCATTAAATTTGAGTTCACTGCTAACCTGTTTTTCTGTATTGTCACCAGTATTACATTTTTAAGATTTCCGTTGCATTTTTAAAATGTCATCAATATACTGAAAGGAAAAAAAGAATGCAGGGTAACATAATTTGCAAAATATTTTTGATTGCATGGCTGAAAAATATGAAAACTGGTCAGAGGTATTTCTTGGTAACTGTGCACTAAAATTGGTGCTCAAAATTACTCAACCGTGAAATGTATGACATCACGTAAGGAAAGAGGTGAAAAGCAAACTACATGTGCATATGTGCATATGTTGATGACAGGTTTTTAGGACCACTTGATGCACTGGAGGTCTACATATCATTTTTTGATATTTACAGTCGATATGAATTTCTTAAAATCATGGTATGACTGACGGAAAATCCATTGGGTCTGGTAATTGAATTGCCTAGGGGAAGAAAATGGCAACAAGTTGCTGTGCAGTTTGTTACTAATTTTTCCACCATAAAACATTTTATCTGTTGTCAGAGAGGAACTGGAATGGTTTCGAACTGAATGGACGGTGATGTTGGCGCGTAACAAATGCCACAGAAAGATGGAGCTATTCATACTACCACCTATGTAATCACCACATCATTACCACTGAAACTGATATTCATACAGTAGGCAATCATAATCGTTACATTCACCCCAAAACTTAAAGAAACTGATTGCCCTACTTTGGTTCGTGAGCTCGTCAACTTTACGTTGGTGTTACTCTCACTCGCGCACGTGTGCATTGTATGCCTGTTTTTTTATAGCATGTTCATCCCCAGGAAAATGTCAGACTTTCTCACAAACAGTCACATTAACCAAATTGACTAGCTCTATGAAGTCTCTAGATCTTTTTCTCCAATCAAACATCTGAGGGACTAACTGGACGGTATGGTTTGAAGGTGTTGGAAAGCCCCAGCTACCCTCGACCAACTAAGGGCTGGCCTGTTGGAATTTAAGGGTTGAATAATATCCCTATGATGAGGATAAATTCGCTGATGAACTCTATGCAAAGGAGAATCAAGGCTGTGACAGATGTGCGAGGGAGATTTTTCATTTTTGGGGGCACTGTCATATGAATTTCAATAGCTCATGAATGATCCATCAAAATCAAATGAGATTTTGGTTACTTGTTGATTAAAGATGTGTTCAAATGTTAGATAACAATACTGGAAAATATCTCTGAAAAAAAAAGCATTAAATCACTTCAAAAGTTTACCCTCCATTTCTTTTTCCTTTCAGTATATTTTCAGATGTTTGCATTATGACTACTGTAACATGATATCTACATGTAAATTATAATATTATGGATGTTCATGTATGCTTATAATTAATATATATAGAATATATACATATAACTTGCATGATTTTACTTCATATGATATTAATTATTATTCATAGAAAAAAAGATGATTTAAGTAAATATGTCATTGATCTATTGTAATTGATAATATATTTTCTCCAAAATTAAAATTAAGCTAGTATTTCCCTCTAACAATGCCAGAGATAAATTATGTACTGAAAAAGGATACGATCATAATATAAAATTATGCATATTCTAGGAAAAGAAAAGGTTTTTATTCACTGATTAATGAATATTCATATGCAATAGATTTTACTTATTAACTATTAAATAATTCTTAATCTTTCTCTTACAGGGAGGACCAAACAATACACCGCCACATGCACAGTATTATCCAAACTATGGGCCCCCCTACCCAACTCATCATTACCCCTCCCATCACCACCCCACACATCATGGGGCTTCCCCCCATGTCCACACAGGGGCACCCACACACCCTCATGGGACGCCTCCACCCCCCAGTTGTAACAGTAATCCCAGTGGACCAGTACATCCAGGTAAATGATAAATACCTGTGGATTAATTAGAATTCATTAAGTAGTTAATTATTCTGTGTAAAGGTTAGCACTTCATTTAAGATTTCTAGATGATGTACATTAGCATTTGGCCAGTTTTATATATGGAGGAAAAAAAACCTAAATGTTACTGCTGATCTTTTTTTTTTTTTTTTTTTTTTTTGTAAATTGAGTTAGTCCCATATTTTATTAATATTACAACATACTTGTACATAGATGGATACATAAAATACCTTTTCTCCTTATGTATTTATAAATAGCTTGTCAGGCAGGTCATTTTGATTGTGAATAAAATTATTTTCCCATCTGAAAAGTGCAAATGTACCGGATTCGGCGATATACAAAATAAATTTTCAAATTTTGAGACAGTCCTTTAATCTATTGTGTGATGTCACTTCCTGGGGTTTTCCAATATCAATCTTTGTACAGGTAAGTAGGAATGTGACACATCAGCAATTGAAAAAGTCTACCATATGTCACCATTATGAACTTACTTAGGGGTAGATAAAGCTTAAGGGGCTACATTATAAGATCAGACATAGGCTTTGTGTCGGATTAAGAGGAAGTGTACTCTAGCATGTCTGCATTTCCTTTAATGATTGTGTTGATCGTTAAACTGAAAATAAAAAAGCAGAGGAATTGTTGAACTTGGCTATATTTGGCATAGAATTACCTGTTGTGTGTGTGATATGAATCTCAATTGTTTTCTAATTAATGGTTATTCCGAGGGAAGTTTTTTTTTCCTGTGTAATTTATTCAATGCAGTGAAATGTCAGATGCTCCATATTCATAAAATGATGTCTATTTATATAACTTGATAATCTATAAGCCACTTGACTTCAGTTGGTTTATGGAGTCTAAAGTTCTTGTTACCATTGAATGTCAGTAAAAATTAGGGATGTTGGCATGTTATATTGGGAAACACTTTGTCAATCCATCTCTGTGTATTCCCTGGTTCATATGTTGAAAACTATGGACCGTTTTTTTACAGAGGTTATGGGTTACATACCAGCCTAGACTAAATATTTATGCGTGTCTTGTGAGGTCCTAAATAAACTTCTAAAATTTTGGGATCTTTGCATTCTGAAACCAGGTGCTTCGCATTTGATGTATGAAAAGAAGTTAGTATTCATTAAACAAGGCTTTTCTAAAAGTAAACACTGTTTCCTTGTGGGTATATCCTGTCGGGTGACTTTCTACATCAATTATTTTTATGAAAGCGGGCTAAAGAATATTAAATATCAAGAGACATGAAAAGTGAAAACAAATACTTCAAAGCTGTTTTGGAATTCAGTATTTGATATTAAAGTAAAAAAAAAGATGAAAGGAAAATATTGATCACAAGGCATTTTTTGAATCATAATTTGATATTTAAGTGAAAGAAATGAATAATTAAAGAGCTTTTTGAAGCAGGAGAGACTCCATTATCTCCCTAAAAAGATCGAGGTAAAACTAGAGGCCTTAACTGATTTTAAGGATTGGTGGAGCTGATTCTGCAGAAGTAGAATTTTCAGCCATATGTAATCTCGTACAACCTGAGCAGAATTGTCTAGATAACAATCAATATTAATATTTTTATGGTGGAAGAAGCCAAATCAATACCCAGTTTTTGGTTTGTGAGGGCTGAGAAAGAAATTATTTATATATGTATGTCATAAGATATTGCAGTACTTTGCAACACACCCTTCAGATGTTTTTTTTTTTTTTTTGGATATTACCTCTGTCTGCAAATATTATTGTCCTATTTTAACACAAGAAATGGCTTTATTGTAGTGGTTAGTAGCTTAGAAGAACATTCCTTGATTCAACATAAGCCATATATTAGGCATGTATCATCAATAATGTGATTAGTGTTCACATATATTCAATTTTATGTCCAATTGTACTGTAGGACCAAGTCAACCAAATTCTATGGAGGGGCGGGCCAATAAACAGAGGGAGAGAGTGAAGAGGAAATTTGAAGACAGGAGGAGTCAGGGAATGTATCAACAGCAAACAAGACCCAGGATCAATGGGAAACAGAAAGGTAAGGGCAGAGGAAAGTCGGAAAGAAAGGGGGGAGAGTCAGAAATAAAGAGGGGGAGAGGGAAACAGCAGGGGAGAGTCAGAAATAAAGGGGGAGAGGGAACAGCAGGGGAGAGTCAGAAATAAAGGAGGGAGAGGGAAACAGCAGGGGAGAGTCAGAAATAAAGGGGGGGAGAGGGAACAGCAGGGGAGAGTCAGAAATAAAGAGGGGGAGAGGGAACAGCAGGGGAGAGTCAGAAATAAAGAGGGGGAGAGGGAACAGCAGGGGAGAGTCAGAAATAAAGGGGGGAGAGGGAACAGCAGGGGAGAGTCAGAAATAAAGGGGGGGAGTCAGAAATAAAGAGGGGAGAGGGAAACAGCAGGGGAGAGTCAGAAATAAAGAGGGGGAGAGGGAACAGCAGGGGAGAGTCAGAAATAAAGGGGGAGAGTCAGAAATAAAGAGGGGGAGAGGGAAACAGCAGGGGAGAGTCAGAAATAAAGAGGGGGAGAGGGAACAGCAGGGGAGAGTCAGAAATAAAGAGGGGAGAGGGAACAGCAGGGGAGAGTCAGAAATAAAGAGGGGGAGAGGGAACAGCAGGGGAGAGTCAGAAATAAAGAGGGGGAGAGGGAACAGCAGGGGAGAGTCAGAAATAAAGGGGGGGAGAGGGAACAGCAGGGGAGAGTCAGAAATAAAGGGGGGGGAGTCAGAAATAAAGGGGGGAGAGGGAAACAGCAGGGGAGAGTCAGAAATAAAGAGGGGGAGAGGGAACAGCAGGGGAGAGTCAGAAATAAAGGGGGAGAGTCAGAAATAAAGAGGGGGAGAGGGAAACAGCAGGGGAGAGTCAGAAATGAAGAGGGGGAGAGGGAACAGCAGGGGAGAGTCAGAAATAAAGAGGGGAGAGGGAACAGCAGGGGAGAGTCAGAAATAAAGAGGGGGAGAGGGAACAGCAGCGGAGAGTCAGAAATAAAGAGGGGGAGAGGGAACAGCAGGGGAGAGTCAGAAATAAAGAGGGGGAGAGGGAACAGCAGGGGAGAGTCAGAAATAAAGAGGGGGAGAGGGAACAGCAGGGGAGAGTCAGAAATAAAGAGGGGGAGAGGGAAACAGCAGGGGAGAGTCAGAAATAAAGAGGGGGAGAGGGAACAGCAGGGGAGAGTCAGAAATAAAGGGGGAGAGTCAGAAATAAAGAGGGGGAGAGTCAGAAATAAAGAGGGGAGAGTCAGAAATAAAGGGGGGAGAGTCAGAAATAAAGAGGGGGGGGGGGAAACAGCAGGGGAGAGTCAGAAATAAAGGGGGGAGAGGGAAACAGCAGGGGAGCGTCAGAAATAAAGAGGGGGAGAGGGAACAGCAGGGGAGAGTCAGAAATAAAGAGGGGGAGAGGGAAACAGCAGGGGAGAGTCAGAAATAAAGGGGGGGGGGAGTCAGAAATAAAGAGGGGGAGAGGGAAACAGCAGGGGAGAGTCAGAAATAAAGAGGGGGAGAGGGAACAGCAGGGGAGAGTCAGAAATAAAGAGGGGGAGAGGGAAACAGCAGGGGAGAGTCAGAAATAAAGAGGGGGAGAGGGAACAGCAGGGGAGAGTCAGAAATAAAGAGGGGGAGAGGGAAACAGCAGGGGGGAGTCAGAAATAAAGAGGGGGAGAGGGAACAGCAGGGGAGAGTCAGAAATAAAGGGGGGAGTCAGAAATAAAGAGGGGAGAGGGAACAGCAGGGGAGAGTCAGAAATAAAGGGGGGAAGAGTCAGAAATAAAGGAGAGGGAAAAGGCAGGGAAAAATCAGAAATTAAGGGAAGAGAGGAAAGGAAGGGGGAATCAGAAGGGTAAGGGAAGGGGAGAGTCAGAAATAAAGGGGGAAATAGAAAAGCAGGGAGAGTAAGAAAAAAAGGGGGAGAGGGAAAAGACGGGAGAATCAGAAAGGTAAGGACAGGGTAGAGACAGAAATAAATGTGGGGAGAAGAAGGGGGGAATCAGAAGGGTAAGGGCAGAGTAGAATAAGAAATAAAGGGGAACGGGCAGGGCTAAATCAGAAAGAAAAACTAAAGGATAAAGGCAGAGAGAAATTAGAAAGCAGGAGGAGGGAAATCTTTGTAATTCTTCAGGATATTAGCTTTCCAATGTTTTTGTCAGCTTAAGAATTAAGTATCATTGTTACTTGCAACAATTTTTGTATTTGGAAATCCTTGTAAAGTTTGAATTGAAATGAAAGGAAGGGAAAAATATCTGTCTAAAATGGCTGCAAAACTTTTGGAAATAAGAAGCTAACATTCGTGTCAGTTCTGGTGTTTGCTTAGTCATATGCAAGCATAAGAATTGACAAGTAAAGAGCACCTGTTAAAGATGATGAAACTGTGGAGTAATACTTACTAGTGGTAGAAGTGAAGGACTTTTAGCTTTGTCATTATAGAGCTGGAAGTATGTCAAACCAGTCAGGTTTTGTATTTCCTTCAGAGTGGGTTCTTAACCTAATACACACAGTGCCATTACATGTTAGGACAAAATAATTGATCAAAAGTAGTGAAGAAGAAGAAGTGTCGCACACTTCTCACATAACGACGTAAAGTACTGCTGCACTATTACATAGTTTTCTTGGAAAGTACATCTAATTAAAGAAATTATGTCTTGTTTAACTGGAAGTACAACTTGTTTCTGTATGCATAATCATCTAGAAATGACACATAAGTAGAAAAGTCAAGGCCATGCTCTTAATAATTGTTGTGCACATGTAAATACAGAGGTTTACAGAGACATTTTCTATTTTTTTAGAAAGCCATGCCAAACCAATGCCCTATGAACCGTACCATTATCAAGGTAATATATAATGTAAAGTTTGTTATGAGTAAAGCAGGGGGTGTTTTAGAATATACATACATTATTCTAAGTTAATTCTTAATTGAAAAACCTACCACTAACTCACACATATATGTAGTGTTTCACCTGAAATTTTGGCCTGATTCAGACTTTGTGATGGTTGACATGAAAATCACTATTTCATGAAACCTTTTCCCCTGTGTATTACTCTACAATGAACAGAAAATGTAGATTGGATACCTATAATTCATTTTAAAAGGACCTCATAGAAAAAGCTTTGTCATAAAAGTTTTTCTGTCACTTGTTCAGTGGCCACCTGAGGCTGTATAATTACTAAATATACCATCAAAGGGATTGAGAAGTTAATCCCGAGAGTTAAGGGAATGCCAGGTGTTATTTATTCCCACCTGTGTGGAGTTATAGAGCTGGTGCTAAATGTTGTACTAACATTGAGCAAGACAACCAAGAAAAGACTTTTTGCTTCTATGATTCCTGTCTTGTATCTTCCCTTCAATATAAGACCTTTGAAAAGACAAAAGCAGGTTTGATTGTTTGAAAGAAAAAAACAAGAGCCTGGCCATTATCTGTCAGAGGAAATCGTGTAGAGGGATTAAAAGTAGATTACGGCTGATAAGTGGTGTTTCAGTCAGGAACAGGGGGGAAGTTTGCAGGGGGAACAGCGTTCTTAGACAGATAAGAGGATGTTCAGGAGGCCTTTATGTGTCAGACCAGGGGAAGACAGGTGGTTATGTAGAAGGCAGTAAAAGTCTAGTCAAGTTAATGTCTGGTTTATATGCAGACCCATATAGTACAAGATCTGTGTCTGTTCCAAATGCTGACAGACATACGGCATAATAAAAAGACAAAACATTTACCTCAGTATTAAATCAGAAATAATTTTTTCATCTTTTGCCTGAAATGATGGTATAATTTGATAGCCTAGAATTTGTAATTAAAAAGATTTTAGGGTGTTTTAACAAAGTTGGAATTTATTTGTGTCTTGAAAATTTTTGTCGTTCACTTCATCATGCACTCTGTCATATGTGTTAAATCACATCATTATAGCCCTAAACCCCATGACTATTGATTTTATGGTATTTTATGCTGACCTTTTTTGTTTTAATAGTTGAGATGTAACATATTGCTGACTTGGCAATTCTAGCACAAACACCAATGACCTTTCTGCACCTAAGGGGATGCTAAGTTAGAAATATTTTTTTTCTTTCAGAAAGCTTGAGTTGTTCACTGATTTGGGCACTTGATAGGTTTTATTGTGTTTTTGCCACTGTTAGCCTCATTAATCATAGGGGCTGGTATGTGGTATATGACCTACATTGTATGTATATATATGTAATGATTAACAGAGATTTTTATTTATTGGCTTTTCATAATCAGTCATGCACAAATAGTTTTATTATCTGTCAAAAGGGTTTTATCATGGAAAGGAATAATTCATTTAGCAGGCAGAGTGGTAAATGCAGGGATTAGAGTGCTGTATGCTTTATTCAAATTTGATATTTTTCTGATGATTTATTGACATGTATTCCTCATTCCAGATGTTCATTTTTTGGTCTAGTTATTTCTTGTTCAAATCAAAATATGTGATTTCTCAAATTATGGAGTTTCCATACTTCTCGGTTACATACAAATCGGTTAAAAAAAATAGATCAAAAAAAAAAAACTTGTGGGTAATTCGTGGGGACAGCCATGCTGCATACTTTTTTATCCATCTGTTTATAAGCTATTGTTCAGCCAGAGGAAATAAATCCGTCCCATTAACATGTCTGAGAAATCCTAAAGCCTCAGTGTCTTAATGGAGAAACAGGCCTGTTATCTGCTCCAATATATTCTTTGTTTTGTGGTGCAGTGTCTGAGTATGCAATGTCTTTCTTGTAATAGAAACAGCAGAATGGGGTTTTGACTTTTTCTGTGACATATACTTGGTCTGACAAAGACACCAGCTGACATTTAATCACACTGTATTCTTTTGCTAAGTATTTTTGATCAGAGATACTTAAATATACACTTTGAAGTGTCTTTTAGATAATTTTCTATTCTGCTCATTAGAATTTTTGCAGTTTGCAGGTGTGTGCAATTGTATGAATGTTTGATCCATTTCACATTTGACATCAGCATTTTCTTTGAGGTTTCTTTGATGATTTTTCTCCGTAGAATCTATCCGTGTGCAGACGTGTTTTTTTTTTTTTTTTTTAATTTTCATGTCTCCAGTCCATCTCTCTACCACACTGTTCAAACTTTACATAATCTTCTCCAATTAATGTCATCCTCGTTCAGATAACATTATTTGGTATCTGTTTCCTTGAAACAAATTAAAGCTTGTGGGTGGATTTTGTCAGAGCTGGGGTCTGGAGGCCTGTTAGCTGTTCTAATGAGCTGCTTCATCAGCCTCCACTTCTAACAGGGATTGGTTTCTAAAGCCATCATCTCCTGTAATGGCCAATTTAGACATTTTAAACAGAATTGATTGTTGTTATGACTTCCCTTCTGCTCTGTATTATATATTGTCCTTATGAAAAGATGCTACACAATATACATGTACTTTTGTTGATAAGTTAATAATTAATAAATGAGATGTTACATGTACATAAATTAATTAGGATTTAAATGATTGATATGAAGTTCTTCTTTTTTTTTTTTGTTTCATTTGTCATGTTTGACAATGATTCATAAAAAAGCAGCCATACCTATACAGTCAAACCTTGTTATCTCAAACTGGATGGGGCCATCAGAAAAACTCTTGAGATATCCAATAATTTGAGATAGTGAGGTTAAAATGTACAGTTTAACTTCTTTATCTGGAACACTGATATCTCGAATACCATGGATATGTTGAAGTGATTTGAAAAGTTCTAACCACTTATTCTTTAAGTCTTTTACCTTTCGATAACTGGAATCCTCGGATATCTCAAAGTTTTTTCTTGGTCTCATCAAGTTTGAGATTACAAGGTTTGACTGTATTAGAAAAGGTTGTTTGGACTTCCAACTCAGTTTGAATTCAAGATATTGATTTTTGAGATAAGGAAGTTCAGCTGTACTGAACTTTGTTGACCCAACATTGAAGATTGTGTTGATTTTTCGTACAAAGAGAAGTTACATATATGCAGTATGACGTAGGCTATACATTGACAATTTTTATACACTTTAGGTAATGGTATGAATGGAGACAGTTTGCCTCCTGTGGATACAGGCCAGCAGGCAGAATTAGCAGAGGAGAGAAAAGTCATACAACAAGTGTTGTCTAGTACCCCAGACCCAACAGTAAGTATACAGATACTCAACTAGATATAAATACTATGTCATACCCCCCCCCCCCCTCCAATAATAAGTATATATAGATGCTAAATTAGATAAAAATACTATCTAGTGACCCTTCCCCACTCCCCCCAGGAAACAGTAAGTATACAGATAGTAAATTAGATATCAGTACAATGTACTATCCCCCCCCCTTCCCGTCCCAACAGTACGTATATAGATACTTTATAGATATGAATACTCTCTAGTACCAATGACCCATCAGTAAGTATACTAAATACATGTATAAGTACTGTTCTCAAGACCAAACGGTAAGTAAACAGAGCTGTTACCCCCCCCCCCCCCTTTTCAACAGGTCAGGTGATAGTTTATATTGTAAACCAACTTCTATTCTCGTGCGAGAAATATTCGTGAGTTTCGCGACCTACTTTTAATCGCGAATATTAATCGCCGCGAACCATTTATTTTGCTTTGTATTTGTAGCGAAAGTTTCCTCAGTCGCGAAAATAAATCATCGCAGATTGATTTCAAACTGACAAATCGCGAATAAAAGTTGACGCGAATAATAGTTGGTTTACAGTATATAGAGCTGAGATATACATACAGTAGGTATTGTCTAGATAGGATCAGTGATGAGTGCATCAATACTTTCCAGATCCATTAATAGCTTTGTTTATTGTAGACTTAGAATTTGAAGTAGGTTTGTTTATTCCAGACCTAGCAGTATCCAAGTGCTGTACTAAATTCTCCAGACCCACAGACCAGTGTGTCAACCACAACTTTACTCTGTATCAACATCTAATTAAACACCTGCAAAATTAGATTTTTTTTGTAAAGCTGGAACTAATATGTTTAAAAATAAAATTAAAGAAATTTCACATGTGGATGAACTAGAAAATGCCTGAAAGTGTTTTTATTTTTACACCACTTTGTGCACACTGAAAAAGACATGATTATGTGGTTTGTATCAGATTACTATAGAAATACTGATATACTGATGATGTTTATTTGCCTTTCAGGTGTCGGAAATCGAGGCTAGAAGTGCTTTGATTCAGTTAGCACTTCCGGAATGGGACCCTAATGTGTATGAAATAGATCCTGCAGATTTCCGATTTACCTTACTACTGTCTGATAAAGGAAAGGAAGGCAAATACAAATTAGTTTACAGGTATGAGAACAAATAAAATGTAAAGGTGTGAAGAGGAAAAGGGGGGGGGGGTTAATGTGAATACCATGATAGAGGCTTCATAGAAATAAATTTTTAAAAAATTGATGGATGTCAACTGCAAACATTAAATATATATGACATACAAACTTGTATACATGTACAGTCTCCAAAAGAAAAAAAAATAGAGATTTTTTTTTTTTTTTTGTATGGATACGACCTTTGAAAGCAGACAGTGTAAACATGTACATGAAAACTGATCTCAAATGAAAATAAAAAATGATGGAAATTTCAAAATGCCAAGTAGAAGGCTTTTGATGTTCTTAAACTGATAAGATTATAGGAATTTAATTTGAATATAGAGTGCAATTTTTTTTATGATCAGCATATTTTGTGGTTTGGTTGTTTGTCAGACTTGATTTGATTTTTTTTTTTCTCTTTGTTCAATTAAAGCGGGGATGCCACAGAAATAACGTTGAAGGATCTGAAACCAGCCACTGACTATCACCTCAGGTAAAGAAAAAGGCTGCTAATGCGGCTCTGATTGATCAGCAACAAAGAACATGCACAACTCATCACCGCTCCCTTTTTGTTCATGTTTTATAGACAAAAAAAAAAATGGCTCAATTCATCACACATAAGCAATTTTGTTTTTATCTGTCTGTTATCATTTCTCATCAGTTATGTTTGTCGGAAAATAAGAAGTCCAGCCTCTGAAATTAGAAAAGGGTTTTATGGGGGGTTGTTTTATAGTTTACAGGGTCTTTTTTTTTAATATGAGGTCAGATGGCACAAACCGTAAGGTCATTGCACCCTACGCTGGTTAAATTTGATGTATCTTTGTACTCTTCTAATTAATGCTATATTCAAGACAGACATTAATTTTGAAGCCTGTAAAACTCTGCTGCCATGTTTTTTTTTTTTTTTTTTTGGTTGATGCTAACAACATTCCTTTTCTCAGAAAATCACCTTCCCAGAAAAGATTTTACGATAATTATCATGCTTTTTTTATGCACTGATGAATGATACAATGCTGTGGGGTTGATATGTACATACCATTAATATTCATCGAAATCTATGAGAAATGTTCATTCTTCCAGTGTTTGGAAACAAAAGTATTTTTCCTGTAAATTATTTTTTATGAAAATCAATTATTCAATAGGTATTATAATATATCAGGTTTGTGACATTTATATGTTTGTCATTTTATTATTTTCTATATATGAATAATTAACAGTCGGTATGAGGTGATATATCATTCCTCTATAAGAAAGACAGAAATGTTACATACTGCCTGCATATTAATTAAAAACAAATAAAAGGAAGATCCATCTTGAATGAGAAATGGATGATTACAAAAAAAAAAAAATTCTACACCTGCAACAAAATCACTGTTCATATTTATAGGTGCCCTCTTTGTATAAAATGGGGCATATTCTTTATCCGTATTTTAAGATGATTTTAAAAAAAAAAAAAGAGAAGAGAGAAAACTGCAAATTCACCAGGTTTTCAGAATAGGCTTCTGATGGAGTTAGCCCAGAGCTTCTGGTGGGTTATCTGATAACAAATAGAGCACACTGCTCTCGTTGGGGGGAATTAATACATTAGATGGAGATAAATCTGTTAGTTAATTTATGGTCTGTTTAATGCTTCATTGAGTTCACACCAGGACAGAAGTAGGTCATTATGTTACTGATTATAAAAAACAGATGATTCAGTATAGACACAAAATAGGGTTAATGTTTTAGAATTACTTGTGCCTTTCAAATCAATATTTTTGAATTCATTTCCTTTATTCCAAGATGGAATTTATGGGAATATTTCAAGCAGACTAGATGAAAATAATGAATATGAAGGCCTAATGTTAAGAATGAAAGATGAAATAAAATGATTAATTTTGTGCTTTTTTTTTTTTTTGGGCTTGCAGAGTGTATACGTCTTTGGAGGATCTGAAGGGAAACACAACAGAGTCGGTGAAATTTACAACCAGTGCCTGTGAGCCAGATCCCCCCTCACCCCCCAAACTAGCCAACAAGAACAAAACCTCCATAGCTCTCAAGTGGAATGTATGTGCCACTGTACTCAGAAACCCCCCATAAAATTGTAGTAAAAAATTATAACATACAATTATGGAATGAATTGATACGTGAAGCATATTTTAACTTTTTAAGTTTTAGTTTTCTCTTGAAGCAGCTAACATATTTTTGCATCTGTTGCGAAATTCAATACTTTTTGCAATGTGTTTGAAGAACAGGAATAGCAGAGCTTTGAAATTTTTTCATTTAAATTAGAGGTTAACCGAACAGTTTTTCTACTGATAAGCATATGTTAAAGGCAGTGATTAGAATTACATGAAATCTCATACCACCTGTGGTGGACTTTAAATCTTTGTTCTCCAAATTGTTTTGATAAATACTGCTATCCAAAGACTTCTTTTATATACAATTTAGATGAGAACAAAGAATGTAAACAAACGCTCCATTTACACGTTAATTAATCTGTAATTATTTCTGGGTTTGTGTACCTCATGACTTAGATTCTGGTGTGTTTTTTTAACAGAGCACCTGTGAAAATGGGGCGAAGATTTCCACGTATACATTGGAAATGGATAAGGTAGGAATCTTACCAGACCTGTGTGATCAAAGAAACATAACTCTTGTGATCTTTGTACACAACACAACTATTGCATTATACAAATGATTGATGGGTAATTGACAGAGCTCTTAGGTGAACAAGATCAAGTCAGGCTACTCTCTGCTTTAGTTCACAGCACTTAATCAGTTCAATTTGTTGAATTAATCAAAGTTTTTATTTTACATGCATTGGTAATTGACCTCAAAGTATAACCCTATCCAATAAAACAAAAATCAAAGTATTCCAGTTGCTCTGATGAAAGGCTACTTTGTTGGTTGTTAATATAACATGAAAAATTGCTTTAGTTTTTGAGTGTTTGATTTTAATTGTGCTGTTTATGATGTGTATTAGGGAAATGGTGAATTTGTGGAGGTGTATAATGGACTACAAAGACAGACTCGCATCAATAAGCTGCAGGCATCCACTAAGTATACGTTTAGACTGGCAGCCATTAATTCCATTGGTAAAAGGTAAAGCCGTACATATAAGAAGCCACCTCTAAGATCATTTTTTTCCAAGACAATTCATAAGGTCCCACATAACATTAATTGAACAAGAAGGGATTGTATTTTCTGATGATTTTTTTTTTTGGTTAGAATTGATTCTGCAGGACTATATCTAATCAAATTAATTTTCACCAGTTGAGAAATGTATGCTGTATTATTTATTTCTAATTAATAACATGCCATAGGAGCAGCACATCAAACATTAGGAATAGAAAAAAATCATTGAAACCTTTATATCAAAAATGACATGATTTTCTTCCTTGCACTCTAATCTGTTTATGATGATTGAACAATATTTGACAGACGCATCATACACCATGGCGGTGCACTTTATTTTCATCATGACCCAGTGTATTTTAATGTGTTGTGATGCTGTGTTTTAGTGAGTTCAGTGATCCCGCGTCTTTCTACACGAGTGGCAGTGTACCCAGTCAACCGGATCCCCCTATGTTATCAGAGCCATTCACCACATCACTAATCATCTCCTGGATCAAGCATCCAAACGAGGACACCTTCCAGCTCCAGATGGAAGATGAATCTACTGTAAGAAAGCAAGACTATTCCACATGACAATTTATCTTAAAATACCAAGACTATTCCACATGACAATTTACCTTAAAATAGCAAGACTATTATTCCATATGACAATTTATCTTAAAATAACAAGACTTTTCTACCTGAAATTTACCTTAATATAGCAAGATTTCTTCTCATTAATGATTAGGGCAATTTATCTTAATCCACATTGATGATGATGACAATTTACTTTAAAATAATTAGGAAGTAAAATATTGAAAAACATAAAATAATAAAGAATACAACATGTGATGGAAAAGAAAACAAAAACTCATATAATTTTTATATCCAATTTTATAGGTCCTCTATTTTTTATTGATTTCTGTAGATTACATCTTTAATTATATGAGAATAACATGCATTCTTAAATATTAACATTGATTTTGACAGGGGCATGGTTTTATTGCTGTGTACAATGGACCAAATTTATCGTACAAAGTCAAAAACCTGATGAGAAACACAGAGTATAAATTCAGAGTAAGTATTGCTCATTTGATGTTATTGAAATATACATTTTCAAAAGAAAAACTATATGAAAAGGATGACATGTTATACGTTTATTTTTACAGCTGGCGGCCTTTAATGATGAGGGCCAGAGTAAATGGAGTGATGTGGTGACATGCAGGACAAAACCTGACCGACCAGCCCCACCCCCAAAACCACAAATCAAGGGCAAGATTCATGCCTACAACTTCAGGGTTGTCTGGGGTAAGTTTGAACAGAGTGATATTTATGCCCCCCTTCGAAGAAGGGAGGGCATATTGCTTTGCTGCTGCCACCAACAGTTTCTGTTCATTTTCTTTGCAGAGGTTGCACATACTGAAATGAAATTGGTATACAAATTTATTATAAGAATATCTAGGCCAAGTTCTCTTTTGGGTAAAATTCCAATTATTTGCAGTTTCTGTTCATTTTCTTCGCAGAGGTTGCACATACTAAAATGAAATTTGGTGTACAGATTTATCATAAGAATATCTAGGTCAAGTTTTGTTTTGGGTACGATCCAGCAATTCTGACAGAGTTATACCCCTTGGACTTAGAAAAATTCCAATTATTTGAAAGGGGGGGGGGGCATAAGTGTTAAACAAACATCTCTTGTTTTTAATCAAGTCCATGTTCAGAGATCTTGTGTTGGAAGTTTACAGTGAGTTAGGTGAAGAGGATAATAATTTCTTTATTTTCTTTCAGAGCCACCAAAAGACAATGGAGGGGCTGAAATAACCAAGTACATCGTTGAAATAGATGATGGACGGGGTAAGCCCCAGTACATTAAAATTTATAGTATATTTTAGGAATGCAGAAAAAAAATTTAAATAAACTTTCCAATTACCAATGAATGGACCTTGCATAGTAATGGTAACATAAATTTTACCTTTCTGATAATGCTACCAGGAGGAGGAGGTTTGTTCAGTGTGTTTGTTGTGAATTGTCTTGTAAATTGTCATTTTCTTTGGGTTTCTCGGTAACAGAATCTTATCATTGAAAGGATTTATATTTTGTGCCGAATTTTATATTAATATATAACTGTATATAACTATGAGTTTATCAAGGTTCATACTTTAACACTATCTGTCTACGTTGTGCTAATATTAAAATTTCCATTACTGGAACTCTTCAAATTAGAGGCATGTTTCGTCTTACTTGGACAACATGAGTTACATGACATTGCGGAGAATACAAAACATGCCTATCTCAATCCGATTTAGAAATGTTGAAAGTATTTGTTGTTCCTATTTAAGAGTAAAAGAACAGACATATGTGAGAGTGCAAAAGTCCTGAATTTATCATTCATTGATAAAAATTACGACGTTTCTGAGGCATGTACATTGTATTTCAAGATAGACCGTCAATACTTGTCAATAACTAGCTGTAAAATATATAAATTGATATCGTTGTTGTTTCTACTTTTAATGCTTGTAAAGTCCACAACAATACAGTGTCTCATTTTCATGTTCGTTGGGCATTTTTTCCTCAACAATCAACATATTGTGTACATGTTACGATTGTCCCAGAAATCCAACAAGATTTTGTACGTTTTCCAACTTTTTCACAAAAAAGTGCAGTAAGAACTTTAACTCTTCCATGGTGGAAATAGAAATAATTCACGAATTGTCCCAAAAAATAAATTCTGTTTTGACATCACTTATTGATGATTGAGCCAGTTCACCTAAGATTTAATTGCAGTTGCAATTTATTTGGAATATGCTAAAAACTAAATATATGGCAAGGTAAACAAAAGGTAAAAGTCAGCACTAATTTCTTGCCAAAATGAGTGCACTTTAGTTACTGCTGATATCCACTGTGTCTTAACTGTGTGTATGTTGTATATATTTTATTATCCTGGTTTTTAACTCAATTTTAACTTCTGTAAGAAAAGTCAGTAACAGTGATGTAGTGAATCTAAAAAAAATGAAATTCAAAATGTTAGAAATGAAGCATAACAAGTTGACAGATTTATTTAGTTGAATTGTTGTGTTTTAGGTTATGAGACTCTATATGAGGGCTCTGAGAGAGAACATGTCTGTGATCGTCTAACTCCTGGTCAGATGTACATGGTCCGAGTCGCCTGCTGTAATGTGGCTGGAAGGAGTGAGGTCAGTATTGCTACCCATTTCCACTTGTTTTTTTCTGTGAGGTTAAAATAAGGAAGAAACTTTACATGCTTACCTGCAAACAAATTTTAAATGTGTGTGTGTGTGCAAGTTTAACTTGTAGTAAGAAACCAGAACATCTGAACCTTTTGAATGACATTCTGTTCCATTTTTGCCTTTTATACAAGATTTGTGATAAACATATTATTTATCTTCAGTTTTCTGAGCCATGTGGTGCTACCACCCAAGCTGTTGTTCCAGGGCAATGCCAAGCCCCAAAGCTACAGGGCAAGCCAAAAGCAACCTCTCTGCATTTAAGATGGGGTAAGAGGCTATCACATGAAATTAATAAGTTTATGTAAATTTTCACTTGAGGTAAGCATGCAAATCTTAGCATTCACAGCATAGTCATGTACATAAATCACTTAGTTGTACCCCTTAGACAGGGAACAAGAAAGAAAAGTCTTTTGAAAAGTAAGAATTTTATTCATATTTTGCAGCATGTCCAGAATACGATGGTGGTGCCGCAGTGTCAGAATACGCTGTCCAGATGGTGACCCCTGACAACACCTGTCGGGAAGTGTACAAGGGGAGAGACTTAGACTGTATAGTGGCAGGTCTATCACCAGGCAGGCCATACCTGTTTCAAGTCAGAGCTTTCAATAGAGTGGGGGTAAATTTTTGTTCATTAATATAGTGTTTTTAAAAGTAAAAAATACTCATAATAAATTTGATTGTATGATTCTCTCATCTTCAAAAATATCTTTTCTTTTTTTTATGAAATTGATTTATTGCAGGATTTTCTCTTCTTCAAAAGTATCTCTCCTATTTTTTAAAAATATTTTATTTATATGTTACAAAATCCACAATTAACCAATTCATTAATCTTCTCATGTGCAGACCTTTGAATGAGCCTGCTTTCTATTACAGGGAGGTGGATGGTCTGACCCGTTTGAGGTGGTCAGTGGTGCAGGTGTTCCTGACCCTCCCAAAGCCCCCCAGTTAGTTTGTAAATCTGCATATTCCGCGCTAGTCTCTTGGGAACCCCCTGTTAATAATGGTGCTACGATCACAGAGTATCGCCTGGAATGGCAGCAGAAAACAGATGTCACAGATTTTGCTTTGGTAATTATTTTTTGATTTATGATTTGTCACATTTTTTACTCCTACATATAATTGACATTTTATTTGACAAATCTAAATATGCTTTTTCTCAGCATTGTTAACTCCCATTATTTTTCTGAGAAATGTTTAAAGTTTTAGATGAAGTCGGTATCGTTAATCTTAATTTGGCATCATGTTGAATTATTAACGATTTTTCCCTCAATTTCAGTTATACACTGGTCCTAATCAGAATTATGAAATCAAAGGTCTCACCCCTGCAACCTTATACCTCTTTAGGGTTCAGGTATGTATAGTGCTCTTTTGTGGTAAAGACATGAACAATGTTTCTGAGGAAAATTGATATTCAAAGAAATTTGACCATTAATAATATTTTCGAGGGGGCATTGTTCACGTTTTGGTCTATGTTTAAAAGGTTATTTCCTGCTGTAATAGATCATATTAAAAGCTTGAAATGCTTTATGTTTTAGGCAATCAATAGTGCTGGTCACGGCCCCTACAGCCCTGTGGGGACGTGTGTGACCCCACCCTCTAGTCCGTCATCTGTCACTGTCATCCGTCACACTTCCACCGCCACGTCTATTACTCTGTACTGGAAGGAGCCAAATTCCAACGGCAGCGACATCACTGCCTACAACCTTGAGGTGGGGGACAAACAGTTCACTATAGGGGCGGTCACGGAGTACACCATAGAGACCCTGTCACCAGAGACTGCCTACAAGTAAGGGCCTCAAAATAGGTCTTGTCTACTTGTCTATTGCCATTTATCTCTGTAGTTCAGTAATAAAAAAAATTGTTATATATAAAATTTTACATTTTGTTTTTAGATTTGTTTCAGTACATGATGAAATTCATTACTAATCACTAGATAGTCACTGTATTTTGTTCTTCATTAATATGATATTTAGAAAAAAATATGGATCTTCTGATTAAGTGACACAGGTTTAAATTAAAATGACTTTATCCAAATAACTTACAACTTATGATTGTTATACTTTGACAGGATAAGGATACAAGCTGTGAACAGTATCGGTGTGGGTCCGTTCAGTGCACCAGTCCGAGTGACCACTAGACCACTTCCTCCAAACCCTTCCAAACTGGAGTGTATCGCTCCAGCACCAAACAGTCTCAAACTCAAGTGGGGTGACCAGCGGGGGTTAGATACGAATCACTACACGTTAGAAATGGAGAAAGAAGATGGAAAGTGAGTATTATTGACTTGCAATTGATTGATCGATTATGTAATAATATCAATGTTTTCCCCCTAGATTAAAGCATGATGAAATTATATTTTTTAAAATTTGTTTCTTTTGTAGCTTCCAAGTGATATATGAAGGCTCCTCACATTTCTTCAAGGTCAACAAACTACAGGAAACTACAAATTACAACTTCAGAATTTATGCCAGTAATGATGTAGGAAGTGGACCATATTCAGAAATTTACACATTCACCACAACCAAAGCTCCTCCCCCGGCAGTGAGGGGTGAGTAGTTTGATATAAAATAGGGGGACCTTCTTCCCAACCCCCAGCAATTAGGACTGATTAATTTCATATTGAAAAGCACTTCGAGAGCTAATCCTGTTATTCTGACACACATAGCAGCTTCATATAAAGGACAAATTTTAACATTTTCAAAAAAAATATTCTTATACCTCTAAGATGGAAGATTGAAGAGGGGTATGACAGTTTGGTTTCTTTTTTTATTTGTAGGTGTACTATAAACTTGTAAGCCAAATTTTATGAGCTAAATGAAATTAAAAATATAAGGTTCAAAAAAAGGTCACATATAATTTGTTACAATAAAAATTGGCAATGGTTGGATCGTATTAGATCCCATAAGTGTGAAAAGATGATAATGTGCAAAAATAGCTAATATGGTAAAATTGTTTATATTGTAGCTCCTCGTGTGTCCAGCATCACTCAGCATTCGTGTAGTGTGGAGTGGCCGGCGTGTAAAGCTGTACAGGGAGACTCTGTGGTGTACCTGTTACAGCTACAGGGGGAACAGGAATATCAAAAGGTAAAGAAAGAGGAGTCTGTAGTTTAAATTACATGTATTAATAGTTTTATTTAAGGTCAAGATCTAGTAAATGAAGGATGCCTACAGATTTCTCAAATTTGAGAAATAAATCCCTTTAATGATGCTTTATAACTTTAGCTTGGTCAAATAAGGTGTTTCGGGGCATGATTTGTAGGTAATCAAGACGAAAAATCATATTTTAAACTGTCATTTTCAATGAAAAATTAAGAAAACCAGTCATGAATACAGTAGTTTTTTCCATATCAGACCATAGAATTGTATCCAGATTGCCTACAGTCTCTCAGAAAACGGGAATTTGTATGTTCTTGGCCTCTAATTTAAAATAATATTAAATTGAATATAGGTATCGGGATTACTTTTCACATGATTTCAAATTGAATTCCTTGAAAATACTTTATTTTCTACATAATTATATTAGAGCCGTAAAGTACGGGAAAAAGAAAGTTGAAATTGATTATGACGTCATAATGGATCTAGCACCAAACAATTAGTCTAAAGTCATTTACTAGATCTTGACCTTAATTTTATTTAAATAAAATTTAATTTAAATTTAATTTAATTTATTAAAATTTAAAAAATTAAGATACATGTATTAATAGGGAGACAAGTGAAAGCATAAATAGAGATGCACAAGGATGATTCAGTTGTATTAGTTCTGAACTAAATAAATCATGAAAGATAAAGTCATGTAGCTACATTTTGGTACAATAAAATAATTGTGGAATAAAATGAGAGAGTATATCATTTATTGTAGATATACAGAGGAGAGGACACTGGTTTCCAGGTGGAAAACTTGTCTCCAAAAACAGACTATCACCTCCGTGTTTGTGCAATACGAATCTGTGAAGATGGGACCGAAGTAGTGGGGGCGTTCAGTCCGGCAGTGACCTTCACAACTCAAGGTCATGAGCTGGTCAGTAAACAAGAAACAGACATTAAACAAGAATCTAAGTTAGTAGAGCCTAAACAGTTAACTGACCAGCAGTGGGCCATGATCATCCTAATGGGCTTCGTTGTGTTTGCTGTGCTTGTCGCTTTCGTTGCTCAGCAAATCATCAAATACAGATCGAGTCAGGCCACAAGATGAGAATTAAGGTTCCAGGACCAGAGTTGATAACACGGGGGAAATTTTCCATGGATTTAATCGTGATTTGACTGCATATCGCTTCCGGAGAGTGCCACAGATCTGCTTCAGTGGAATGTGTTCCATGCAATATTATGATATAGATCTGATTCAACAAGGCTAGCAGGTGGCTAGCAGAGGATGAAGGGTTGATGTGCAGCAGTTTGTTATCCATGTAGATGTTTCATGTGATATTTTTTTTTTCTGTTCAAAGTCATGACATTTTACTTAGGAAGATGTTTGTGTCTTACAGCATTTACATGTGAATTTAAAAATTTTAATTGTAAAAAAATCTATCTATAGATGTTGCTTGTAAAATCTGTGAGTGTGCTTGACATCCTTGCAGATTATGATGAAGTGTTTGGTTCCATTTGGATCCACATTCACAGCTTAATCTCTCCTAATCAGTTGTGTTGTCTCCAGGTTTTATTCATTGAAAATAATCAGAAAATCTTATTTTTGAAGATTGGTACATTTTTTCTCCAATGTTTTATTGCAGATTAGAATGTTGTGTACATATTATATATGTATAAAGATATATTTTTCACAGCTTCCATGACTTTGTGTTAGATGACCAATGTTAAACTATGTGGAAACACTGCTTCTCATCTTACTTATTTATTGTTATTGCCAAAATCACTATGGAGAGGGGAACTTCATTTTTTTTTGTCCTCATTGGGAAAATTTTAATATCAAGTCTTAATATCTCTGTATTAAGAATCGTACATGAGCTGGAGTAGATTGATGCTCCATTTGTGAATTATTTTTATGTATTTTTTGTATCATCTTTATTTTTTTTTTCCTTCTGATTATGGGCCCCTCAAACATTTCCCCCTCCCCATCATTCATCAAGGTGAAAGACATTTTACCCCCATTCAGGTGTCATCACAAAAAAATCACAATACAGGCCTGACCAATAATATCTAATGACTCCAATAAATTAAATGGTATTTATTGTATATTAAATATGGGACATGATATATGTTAAGTGTTCCATGTTTTTTTCAAACCTAGAGCTAGGAATGCTTGTCGTTTCTTTGTTCCTCTGCCCCTGGTCTGCATTATTCAGCCTATAGTAATGGTTGTGGCTGTTACATTTGTTAACACAGCTTCAATATCAATGTGCCAAATAGTTATATGTGTAACCTGTACCAATTCAATGCATTTTTTTGTGTGTGTTTTTCTGAATTTTCACAAATCTTGGGCATGTATTTAAGATGAAGTATGTCAAAAACGGATTGTATTTGACAAGTCGTTTGTCTATTTTGTCAAAAGACTTGATTAAATTTGAATTTTAAGTAATCATAAAATCCACTGCAGTCCAGATAAAACATTGATGTTTGTCAATAGTTATGACCAGAAAGTTGATGAAAACATTATTTGGACCCCCCACCCCCCGGGGACTGATACTGATGTTAGACAGGCTTTCTGATCTACCTGTTGACTTTTCAAACTGTGTAACTTATATACATATATATATTATATTTAATTGCACTGTGCACTAGTTACTGGTACTATTTTATTTGTTATAAAACCCTTCACTAGTCAGATGTTGCTGTGTTACGTTCTATGTCATGTACATGCATTTTTTTCTTCGTTAATTAAGCAATCAAATGACCAGTCCTAAAATGGCCACATTTACGATTTTTTTTTTTCAATTTAATTCACATACTGTCATTTAACGTAAATGACTGTGAAGTTTTATTTATTGAAGCAATTTTATGTATGTGCAGTCATAAATTCAAATAAACAAAACAAAGAAAAATTGCATATAATTTTTTCTGAAAAGGAAAAAGTTATCATCAGCTTGATTCTTTACCTACCACTTAGACCCCCCCCCCCCCCCTCCTCCCACCCCTACCTCCATCATCATGGAAAATGTAATCTTTTGTATTGTGGAATCAGGATAAATATGTTCTCGTATAAATCTATACCACTCTTTTTAGGAAATATTGGCAACAAAAATACAGAAAACCTAAAGAATGTACAGAATACTTCATGTTGTAAACCAAGAAAGAAATCTGGATTGTCCATATTGTCAAAAAGTAGAGAACATTGAAATAGATATCACTTAGTTAAATATCACATACACTATACACCAGTAGTATAGGAAATGCATATCTCCCTAGGCCATGTTGATATCACTGTAGGACTTCAAGTGACCTTTGTTTTAGCCCATAGTTCAAAGAATTGTGATGCATTTAAATGTTTTTAAACTACTATTATTATGGTCATTAGTTGAGGAGTGATGGGTACTTATTTCGTTTTCTTTCACATTTGTTCATAAAGGTTTTCCATATCAGAAAGAAATTTAACTTTGGGGAGTGGGATGTTTAAGATGATCATTATTTAAAAGCTTACAATAGAACTGGAGGCTAGATCATATTACACGCGGAGTTGCCGGCCTTGCCATTTTGTCATGTCACATACGTAACCTGCTCGAAAAATTGTTGAATAAACTTTGTTATTTCATTGTTATTTTTTGACTTTGCAAATATCTTAAGGTTGTATTTTTTATGAGCATGACAATATTTTTTTTGTGTGTGTTCAGGATGTTTTCCTCTTTGAAAGTGATGTGTTATTTCAGTTTCCATTAATTCAGGGTATTGGTGATTTTTTTTGTCCAACTCTACTGTCTCTTCATTGTTTACATTTCAATCAAGAAAAACAAGGCAATAAACATTAATAAACATCGATTCCATAAATGGAATCATTAAATTAAAAGAAATTGGTCAAATTGTTGATTTTTGATACCTATATGTAGGCCATTATGGATTTTAAAATTTGGTTTTTGAGTAGAAAGTAAATGGTGTCCAGAACTTCTTTTTGATCACTGTTCCAACCTGCAAATTTTCCAAAATTACCTTGGCATTATTATGTGGTCTTAATTGTAAGATACAGGTATATTGTTTAAATTCTTTAATAGTCCCTCACATGAAATTTCGGTTGATATAGAAGAACATTAAAAAAAGAGAGAAATTAATATTTATGCATTGATTCAAAATATGACTGCACTTCATAACAACACTAAGGGGGACCCATTAGGACCTTACTTCTAGATATATGTGTCCAAACTTTAGCCCACTTATTACACAATTTAAGAGCCCAGTTATTTCACAGTTTTAAGAGTTGACCAAGATAAAGTGTTTCTTTGTTATAAGTTATTGTTATTTATTCTAATTCGAGAATTTAAAAAAAAAAAAAAGAGAATGGTGAATATTTTTTGGAAATGGCCAGTAAGGCACAAGTGCAATATAAGTAACTTCTGAAGCAAAGTGGGTCTGGTCACTTTGTATTGTGTATATATATATATAAATGTATTTGGTTGTCTTATGATATTAATTATCTTACATTATTATACTGTCATAGTGCATTCATTTATAGGCATGTTGCCTTGTTGCTTTAATCATTACGATAGGTTAGCATGCATTGTATAGTACCAGGTATCATCACTTGTCACTTGAAGTTCTCACAAAGAAAGAATGGGGAATCATTTAATTTTTTTGGTTGATTAGCAACTTCATGATGGTTTTTTTTTTGTTTCAAAATATATTCATGATGTGATGATGGGACATAAGTAATTATTATATAAATATATATATATACATATAAAATATATTCTATCAAATAAATTTATCAAATTAAATCATATTTTTGTTGTTATTGTAGAATATTATTGAATACTATACCCTTTTGTCCTTGTATGTGTCTTTTTTTTTTAATAAATGTAGTTTAGATAAATCCAAATAATCTACTGTAGTAAGCTTTGAATGAAAGGTTTTTGGGCATCATTTGTAAATTGAGAATTTTCAGAACTTTTTCCTTAATTATATTTTTAAAGTGAAGTTCCCGGAAACTGCTAGTAAGCCCCAGGCTAAAGGCCTATTTACACGGTCTGACTTGTAAGATGTGATTTCAGATGTGATTTCACATCTGACTCCAGTGTTTCATTTACATTGTATGATTTGTCAGATATGTAGTTCATTAATATTTCCCTCCAAATTTCTTATTGTTTACAATTTAAGAATGGAAAACAGCAATTACATACTACCTTTCCATTTCCTAATGATAGCAGCTATTTGCCAATTGAACACAGAAGAACATGGGCAAGACCTTGGTTAGGACATGGTGCATATTAATAAGTAAAGAATTGGCCACGGAAAACCCAAATGGTTTCATTTTTTCAGACAAATTTACTTCTGAGTATGATTTTTTAATCAATCTGTTTGTTCAGTTTCACTTTCCTGCCATTATCAATTCGAGTACATGGAATGAAAAATTCCCCCAAGATTTGGCCATGTAAGATATCACATTAATCTTAAAATTAATCTGGAGCAAAAGTTCGGGAAAAATCCACATGTTAATAGTACCTAATTTAGATCAACCTTTATGACCTTTCTTATGATTGGTTGAAACCATCTGACTTGCCAGACAGAATAGAACATGTCTCTATTCCATCTGACTCCATCTGACTTCATATCTGGCTTATGATTTCCCTATTTACACGGTATGATTTGTAAGATGTGGCGAGTCACATCTTACAAATCATACCGTGTAAATAGGCCTTAAGCCACACCCAGGATTCATTCTGAGAATAAGGGTCAAAGATAATAATCTCAATAACATGTCTCACCAGGCATTAACTCTGTTATAATTCCCAGATGAACAATCAAGTCAGGTCTACCACTAATGTTATGGAGTGGGTCAAAGCACCAAAAACACAATTGAACTAGAGCCGAGCTCGTTGCAATGCAACGAATAGGTCTTCCGCCGGAGCTCCGGACAAAACATAGCGACCTTGAGTCAAGGTCATACAACATTTTAAGGTTATAAACAATCCTGTAAGGGGCATCAACTTCCAATGTTTCAACCGTAGAAAGACAGTAAAAGAATGTAAAATTCCCCTGCAGTGAACTTGAACTTGTCCAAATAATCGTGCGTCAAGCCAGGACACATTCTGCAGCTGGTTAAGAGCAAACACCATCTGTATGTCATCGACAAAAAAAAAATTCACAGTCACGTATTCTTTCAGACTATTCATCCAAAACATCATATTCTAAGTGACATCGAATTTAAGTCAAGGCCATTACACACTTTGGATGATATATTTATCATCTTTTCAGTGAAATGCAAATGCATGCAATTTTTTCTATTACAAAATTAAAGACCTTTTTGTTTGTTTGTTTGTGTGTATGTTGTTTAACGTCCCTCTCGAGAATTTTTCAATCATGTGGAGACGCCACCATATTTGCCGATGGAGATCTGCAAATTTTGACCTATACTCGGCACTCATGGCCATTGAACAGTGAAGGATCTTTTTCGTGCCAGCACCAAATGCCAGACGGGACTTCAGTTTATACAGTCTCATCTGAAGGATCGGTCTCTGCGTCCCATAGTGGGATTCGAACCTGCGACATAAGGATCAACTCCTTAATCCACGACTCTAGAGGAGACACTCTTACCACTGCGCCACGTGGGCGACTAGACCTTTTTGAATTTTACATTTATTGTATCAGTGACCTTGAACTTGCCTAAATGACCTATTTTAAGGTCAAAAACAACCTTTGAACTAATTATGAGCTTCCAGTGATACTCAATGACCAAGATATTCCTGAAAAAGAATATTGCACTTTTCTGTCAGTGACCTTGAACTTACCAGAAAGACCTTGGATCAAGGTCAAAACACATCTTTGGATCATAAGCAATCTCTGTATCAAGTAATATCTTCCAGTGGTTTTATATTACAAAGTTATAGCATGGAAAAAAAAAATTAATATTTATCTGCCAGTGACCTTGAACTTGCGGGAAAAACCTCTATTCAAGGTCAGGACAAACCCATCTCAAGCAATCTGAGAAAAAGTTTCCTGTGTTCCTCCCACCCCTTATAAATTTATAATCCAGGCACGAGTTTTGCCACTTCTTCTGCCAATCTAGTACTATGTTATCTCAAACCGGTGGATCATAAGCAATCTTTGTTCCTAGTATGAGCTTCCAAAATTATAGCACATACAGTAATCTTACACTTTTCTGTCAGTGACCTTGAACTTACAGGAATGACCTTGAATGAAGGTTGTGGCAAACCCTTTTTGTCATAAGCAATTCCTGTATCCAGTGAGCTTCCGGTGACTCTCTTTTACAGATAAATGAGTCGGACAAAACTTTGCTATTTTTTTTTAAGTGACCTTGAGCTTGCCGGAATGATGTTGGATCAAAACCATGACACACCCTCGGATCATTAGTAATCTTTGTACCAAGTATGACCTTCCAGTTTCTTCATAACAAAGTTATATCCTGGGCAAACTATCACGTACAGACGGACAGCTAGGCAGACGGACAGTGTGATTCCAAGACTCAAAACACCCCCACCCCAAACCAACACACTTCGTTTGGGGGGATATATAAATTCCTATGTTAAATTATGAACACTCTTTCCGGCCCAAACCTTCTCCCTTGAATCAAGATTTGAAAAATAAAATGAATGTATGCTATGTTGGAAATTTTCTCATTCTAGTCCAGGGGTTCTTGAGAATACTATTTTCAAATGACCCCATGCGCGGATCTAGAGGGGGTTGGGGGCAGTTAAATGTATATACTAAACCAAGTAAAAGTGACGATGGAACCCCCCCCCCCCCTATAAAACGCGGACCCTTCCTCGAAAACGCGGATCTGTGTTAAAATGGTATGAAAAGTCTTAGGTATGAAGCTTTAAAAGTCAACCCCCCCTCCCACACACAAACACACACACGAAATAGGTTTTTCACGTTTGGGAAAAGAGTTTCTTTTTTTGACTCGTCAAGAAATTTCTGGGTTGAAATATTTTTTTATTTGGATCCCCCCCCCCTCCCCGTGGAAAAAAAATTCCTTGATCCGCGCCTGGACCCCCTCTAATTTTTACTACATGTATCCGTTAAAAGAGGATGTGACCCTTCATTTGAACAAAACTTTACCAAAAATATTCTATGTTAATTTTCGTTGTTATGGCCCAGTGGTTCTTGATAAGATAAAAATGAGAACATTTTACAAGTAACTTTAAAACGACAACGACGATAACGCTTATATACGCCAAGAAAGCAAACAAAGCTGAAAAATTATGAACAGAAAAGCTTACTTTGGGCCTTTGGGCTTGGGAGATGAGATACTTATTTAAGAAATAAACAACAATGTTAAAAAGTTCTCTGGGAAAGGTTAGGTTGAACGTGATCAAATCCTGTGAAGCCCTAAGGGCTTCTCAGATTTGACCAGGTACCAACCAAGTTCATTTCCCAGAGAACTTTTTAACATTGTTGTTTATTACTTTTATTTACATTTGAGACGAATTTTCTGAAAAGAACTGCATTTATTACACGAACGGCCCGCCGTATTCATGCTATGTTGTGACGCGAAGTGACCTAGAAGCTGTTTGGTCTTGAGAGTTCGCCTCGCTCCAACATTTGAATACTTATATTGCTGTTCAGCAGTCCAGTTCAGGAAATATCTATTCATAATTAAAAAAAAAAAAAAAAAAAAAAAAAAAACAATGATCGCTACTGAGAATGATCTTACTATTATTGTATGAGTTCTTTATATGAAGTCAAAAGCGGTGATATCGTCTTCAGTTTACATACCTTCAAAGGAATTTCGGGTTAAAAAGGTAAGCGTGATTTTAGGCTAATTAAAAACATTCTTCACACCGAAGAAAGAACTAATGATCATTTGTTGAACGAAAAAAAAAACATATATGTTTCAATAATTTTATCTTTTTCATCGCTTTAACGGCTTAGAAGTTCCGAAACCAGTGTCACCGGGACAGAAATATGTAGACAAGATATCATCTCGCTGTGTGATACGGTCACGCCATGACCTCTGACCCCCTAATAAGTTTGTACAGAATTGAACATATTTTCTCTTCAATAGGTTCACCGAAGAAAATTATTTGCAAATGTAAATAATAAAAATTGAAATTATTTTGTCATTTTTTTACGATCGACGGGCCTGCATTTCAAAGAGAGAGAGAGAATTTCTAGCTAGGTCTTTGAATAACAGTGACATCGGTTCAGAAAACCAGGTCCCTAGGAATGTACATGTATATAAAATAGGCAGTGCCTTTCTCTCGGAATTCATCACCTGCTTCTGTAAAGCTCCATCCTCGCTTGTACTTACATAACCGGCTGCGAAGGAAAACATTCTATTTATTTCGGGGATGGGGGTATACGTATAGCGATGAGAGGCAATTTATTCACCTATACGCTATACGTTCATTAAATATGAAGATTGCTTCTGAGTATTTGTATACGATCGCACGACTTTCGTGTTAATTTATAAAAGTTAGATTATATAAGCAAATAACTAAACTAACTTTTGTTCTAGATGAATTAAATAATTACTTAGCCGTTTGTAAGGTTTTTTTTTTTTTTACATTTATAAGAACCACTTTATTTTAAAAAACAAATAATCGTCCTATTATGGGCGCCCATGATATATTAGACAGGATGTTTAAAATATAATTCAGATATCGACACCCAAGAGAACAACACATTCTTTTTTTCAGTGGCGGATTAAGGAATCTAGAAAAGGGGGCCGACCAGTTTTGGGTCGGGGTAGGGGCCCAAAGCCACATAAAAATTGATTTATTAAATCTTGTGTATATTTTGGATACAAAAAGGGGGC